GTACTGTACAACAGTATATTCGAGAAGTGGTGTAAATAAGATGCGGATACTTAACAAGAGGCCCATGGGCCACATCGCTCACCTGAGTAACTTTGGCCATACTGTTATTTACCAGATTTCCCCCCCTTGTAATACCTATTGTGGCCCCGGTCTACCCCCCGGAGGACATGAATTGAATAATTTAGAATCTACACTACCACAAGATGCTTCCACATAAGTTTAAGTTTTTCTAACCCAGTGGTTCTTGAGAAAATTTTCAAAGATTTTTTCCTATATATTTCAATGTAAAACTTGGATTCCCTATTGTGGCCCCGCCCTATCCCCGGGGTCATGATTTGAACAATTTAGAATCTACACTATCCCAGGATGCTTCCAATTAAGTTTCAGCTTTTCTGGCCAAGTGGTTCTTGAGAGGAAGATTTTTAAAGATTCTTCCTATATATTTCAATGTAAAACTTGGACTCCCTATTGTGGCCCCGCCCTACCCCCGGGGTACTGGTTTAAAAATTTAGAATCTACACTATCCCAAGATGCTTCCACATCAGTTTCAGCTTTTCTGGCCCAGTGGTTCTTGAGAAGAAGATTTTTAAAGATTCTTCCTATATATTTCAAAGAAAAACTTGGATTCCCTATTGTGGCGCCGCCCTACCCACTGGGGTCCTGGTTTAAACAATTTAGAATCTACACTATCCCAGGATGCTTCCACGTAAGTTTCAGCTTTTCTGGCCCAGTGGTTCTTGAGAAGAAGATTTTTAAAGATTCTTCCTATATACATTTGTATTTCAAAGAAAATTTTGGATTCCCTATTGTTGCCCCGCCCTACCCCGGGCGGTCATGATTTGAATAATTTAGAATTTTTACTACCACACGATGCTTCCACATAAGTTTCAGCTTTTCTGGCCCAGTGGTTCTTGAAAAGAAGATTTTTAAAGATTTTTCCTGTATATTTCAATGTAAAACTTGGATTCTCTATTGTGGCCCCGCCCTACCACCAGGGGTCATGATTCTAACAATTTAGAATCTACACTATCTTAGAATGCTTCCACATAAGTTTTAGCTTTTTTGGCCCAGTGGTTCTTGAGAAGAAGATTTTTAATGACCCCACTCTATTTTTGTCTTTTCTTGATTATCTCCCCTTGTAAGGGAACTTGGCCCTTTATTTTAACAATTTAAACTCCCCTTTACCAAAGGATACTTTGTACCAAGTTTGGTTAAAATTAACCCAGTGGTTCTTGAGAAGAAGTTGAAAATGTGAAAAGTTTACAGACGGACGGACAGCTAGACGGACGGACGACGGACAACGGGTGATCAGAAAAGCCCACTTGAGCTTTCAGCTCAGGTGAGCTAAAAACTTCGAAGAACTTTTTGGAAAAATTGAAATCATAAAATTTTACTAAAATCAGTAGCATCAAAACATACGACTTTTCAACACTTTATACAACCATTCCCCACGATAAATTAAAGTCCAGGCTTTTGACATCATAGACAGCTGCTTTTTTCAATTAAAATGGAACTCGTAAATTTATTTACCTTGTCATTGGTCATTTACAAAATTATTTTGTTAAAGAGCACTCTGATTGTACACACAAGTACTCTGAAGTTGATATTAAAAAGATGCTTGAGTTTCTGATTGACAATATCTATGTAGTTTTTGGAGATCAGGTCTTTCAACAATCTGTTGGAATTTCCCTGGGTACCAATTATGCCCCGTTGTTAGCAGACCTATTTTTGTATTCATATGAAGCAGAATTTATTCAAAAACTTCTACATGAGAAGAAAACACTTGCTGTGACGTTCAACTCGAAATTTCGATATATCGACGACGTATTATCATTTAACAATAGTTACTTTCATTCATATGTCGACTCGATATATCCCAGTGAGCTTGAAATAAAACATATCACAGAGTCTGACACATCTGTTTCATATTTAGATAATCTACTAGAAAAAGGCGCTAATGGTAACCTAACAGCAAAGCTTTATGATAATCGTGATGACTTCAACTTTTCAATCGTCAACTTCCCTTTAATATGTAGCAATATACCCTTAACAGCTGCATATGGGATTTATGTCTCTCAGTTGATTTGATACGCAAGAACATGCTCTACGTATGAACAATTTCTAAAATGAGGCAAGCTATTGACAAACAAGTTGATGAAACAAGGATATCAACAGTCTCGTTCGAGGTCATCTTTTCGCAAGCACATACAATCTATCATTGAGTCAAATGCTGACTGATTTTTTTTTTCATACTAATTGTTAGGCCATTATTTATACACTGTACTGTCTACGGATTTTTCCAGGTATTTTTTTCGATCATGACAAGGAGCACACGTCGGGTGTGACCGGTTGGCAGGGGATGCTCAATCCTCCATGGCACCTGATCCCACCTCTAAATTTTGAGGTCCGTGTTTGCTCTGCTCCAAATTTGTATCGTTTCATTGGACTTTCAAAATTGAATACTTTTCGTTATCTTGATATTTCATTAAATCAAGTTTTGATTGAATAATTTAGTGATAACGTTTTATGAAATAAATAAACGATTCATATTTGCTTGTTGTCAGTGTCATTAAAAATTGCCAGTAACTTAGATCCGCCAACCGGAACCGCCACCTTACTCGCGTTTTTGATATTTCATGGCTGTTTATAGAAAATGAAAGACTTTAATTTAATGTAGAATACTTACTGTGCATGTAAAATCTGAATATAGTTTACGGACATCATCTCGTATCTTGTACATTCATAGAGGAGTTAGTAAGAACTCTGGTCCACCCGTTTCGGACTTTATTTGCAAAATTTATTAATTTATGAGTATGGATATGTATAAAGCATATGAAAAAGCGAAATTATTGTGGGCGCCCCCTTCAGGTTCTTTCCCACGGGCCTGTAAAGATTGATTCTGCTAAAAACCATAGACATTACATGTACATTCTATCATAAAAATATATAATTGTGTGTTAGAACGGGGGTCCACTTTTTGTTGCTTATCTTCAAGCACTGCCAAATTCGAAGATTTGGTTTTAAAAAAAATGCATCAAAAAGTGTACCACTCCCACGAAATAAGATTATCAAGTTAGGGCACTTTAGGAATTTTTTTTGGTTGCTTGTCAGATTCCTTTTAGGGGGGGGGGGGGGGGGGTTCTTAAAACCGTTGTTACGGGCCTGGTGTTATCGTTTGAAATCGGCTTTGAGCATATTTTATTACTAGTTCCCCTTAGTACAATGTATATGGCGATCAGGATTCCACAGTTTGATATTCAGATGCCTTGTGATAGCATTCAAGCAGAAAAGATTGTGATTGAACCCAACAAAAAAGAAAAACAAGAGGCTCCTTGGCCACAACGCTCACCCGAGAAGCTATGGTCCTGTTTTTCATCAGCAGATTCTTTTTCGTACAAACTCTTATGTAAAACTTTGATCCCTTTTTACGGTCCCATCCTACCCTGGGGGTCATGATCTGAACTAAGTTTAATCTACACTATCTGAGGATGATGACGTATAAAAATGACTATTCATGGATTTGGTGTTCTTGAGAAGAAGATTTTTAAAGATTTTTTCCTATGTATTTCCATGTAAAACTATGATTACCCATTGTGGCCCATCCCTACTCCCGGGGGTCATGATATGAACAAACAAAAATCTACACTACCTTCCACATGCTTCCATCTAAATATGACTAATCAGGGTTTTGCTGTTCATGGGAAAAAGATTTTGAAACGCTTCTCTTATATATATTCATATGTTAAACTTTGATCTCCCATTTCAGCCCCACGCTACACGTACCATGGGTCATGATTTGAACAAACTTCAATCAATACTACCTGATGATGATTCCATATAAATATGACTAATCATTGCTTTGTTGTCCTTGAGAAGAAGATTTTTTAAAGATTTTTCCTTGTATTCCTATGTTAAACTTTGATCCCCTGTTGTGGCCTCGCCCTACCCCTGGGGGTCATGATTTGTACAAAGTAGATTCTACACTACCTGAGTATGTTTCTTTATCAGTATGACTAATCATGGCTTTGCTGGTCTTGAGAAGGAGTATAAAGATTTTTCCTATATATTCCTATGTAAAACATTGATCTGTTGTGGCTTCACCTTACAGGTAGTGATTTGAACAAATTTGAATCTACACTACTTGAGGATGTTTCTATATTAATATTAAAGATTTTTCCTAACTTTGATCCCCTGTTGTGGCCCCATCCTACCCCAGGGGATCATGATTTGAACAAACTAAAAAACTACACTACCTGAGGATACTTCCACATAAATATGACTAATAATGGTTTTGTTGTTGTTGAGAAGAAGATTTTAAAAGATATTTCATATCTATATCTACATATGTATGTAAAACATTAATCCCCTGTTGAGGCCCCGCCATACCCCCAGGAGTCATGATATGAACAAATTTGAATTTACAGTATGTAATGAAGCTCTCACATAAACTTCATCTTTTCTGGCCCATTTTCAGACATTTCATGTTTAGCAAAGTGAGGAAAAGATTACCTTGTATCCCACCTTAGAAAAAACGGACCCATTAAAAAACATGGACCCCAGTTAAAATGATAAGAAGAATCATTAATACTAGTATACATGAAGGAAAATTACTTGTCATACCCCCTCCCCCAAAACTAAATAGTCTTTTCGGGTGAAGACAAGTTGTGTACATTTTTTTTTTTTTGCTTTACAACGGAAAAAACCCACCCTGGATCTGTGCATGGATCCTATACTAGTATATTCTTCAAGGTTTTCTTATATATACAGTTTGAGAAATTTCAAACATTCACTTTCTTAAACTAATGATTTTCAGTAAAACATGGTTTTCTCTGTAAGTTTTAACTTCTAAACACTATATAGTTGTAAGAAACTAATTGATTTCATAAGGTTCGAGATCATTTTGCTTCATGGCAAATTAGACTGATATCTATAATGCACTTGAATGCAGCAAAACACTGATATTTGATTAAAATTAAAATTCTGTTTCACATATAACTCACATAAACTGCTGTCAATTGTGTATGGAATAATATTATCTGGCCAAAGTGGAGCCGATTTTAAGAAATTTCTCCTCTTTCTTCCACCACTCTAAATATATAAAACAAGGTAAAATGAATTTATAAGCAATAAACAGCATTCAAATATATAAATAACAATATCTATTTGTTTTCCCACAAGCTATCCATCATCTGTGTCCGTTAAAAATTTCAAAGAATTTTAATAGATATTCATGCTAGATTATTCAACTGAAAAATAATTTTAAGAAAATAATTTTAAACAAATCAAATACTAACAAGAGATGTTTGTGAAACACTTATGCCCCCCCCCCCTTAATTGGAATTTTTCTAAGACCAAGGGGCATAACTCTGTCAAAAATTGCTCGATCGTACCCAAAAGAAAATTTGACCTAGATATTTTATGATAAATCTGTATACCAAATTTCATTTCAGTATGTACAACCTCTGTGAAGAAAATGAATGGAAACTGCAAATAACTGGAATTTTTCTAAGTCCAAGGGGCATAACTCTGTCAAAAATTACTCGATAGTAACCAAACCAGAACTTGAGCTAGATATTCTTATGAATGAATCTGTATATTAAATTTCATTTCAGTATGTGCAACCTCTGCGAAGAAAATGAACGGAAACTCTTGGTGGATCGACAGACAGAAGGACCGACCGACCGACAGGCAGCAGCAAAGCAATATGCCCTCCCTTCTTCGAAGGGGGGGATGGCATAAAAATAAAAACGCTTCAAATAGAAGAGCCAGGTTGCACAGCTTTAATTCCACTTTTCCGCAAAACGACACTGCTTTTCCGCAAAAAGAAATCCTGCTTATCCGCGGCAAAACAAATGCTTTTCTATGGCATGTCAAACGTTGCAATATTCGATCTTTTCCATTTGTATTGTATAACTTTCCATTTGTATTGTATAATTTTTATTTGTATTGTATAATTTTTCATTTGTATTGTACAATTTTTCATTTGTATTCTATAATTTTCAATTTGTATTGTATAATTTTTGTTTGTATTCTATAATTTTCCATTTGGATTTTATAATTTTCCATTTGGATTGTATAATGTTTATTTGTATTCTATATTTTCCATTTGTGTTGTAAAAAAAATCATTTGTATTGTATAATTTTTCATTTGTATTCTATATTTTCCATTTGCATTGTATAATTTCTTATTTGTATTGTATAATTTCTTATTTGTATGCGATAATTTTTCATTTGTATTGTATCCGAGGATTGTTTATTTATTTCGTTACGAAGGATGTCATTGGTCATAAAATTTAGTCTGTATAAAGGTCTCAGGTGCCCATCACAAACTTAGTCTGGTACCCTTCCCACAATTCCGATCGCGCACTCTCTACAAACACAAACTCGGCTCCTCTATTTGCGGTGCATGCTAAGGGACGACCATTTGATTCTCGGGGGGTGTCGAATCCGATTATTTATTTTCATTCTCTCGCAGGAGAGAATATTTATTTCCAATATGACCAGAGACAAGGAGAAAAACAAAAAGAAGAAAATCCGCCCAAACCCGAAAACTCAGTTTTTTGGGGGTGGGGGTAGTTACCACCACTCAAGGTCAATTTATTTATTTTCTCAGTCAGCATTCCTAAGGATAGATTATTTATTTGCCATCTACCAGCTCTCCCTTTTTAGAATCCAGTGACCGTCTAACATGGACGCAAATACATATGCCGCCGAAATATGGCTGAAATATTGCCGACTCGGCGTTAAACAATAATCAATCAAGCAAGCAAGCAAATACATATGAGCCCAGTTTGCTTTGAGCATCCGGAACATCTTCAACCCGATACAGGCTGAAACTTGACCAATGAAATCCTTCGTAACGAAACAAATAAACAGTCCGCGGATACAATACAAATGAAAAATTATCGCATACAAATAAGAAATTTTACAATACAAATAAGAAATTATACAATGCAAATGGAAAATTATACAATACAAATAAAAATTATACAATACAAATGAAAATTATACAATACAAATAGAAAATTATAGAATACAAATAAAAATTATACAATACAAATGAAAAATTATACAATACAAATAGAAAATTATACAATACAAATAAAAATTATACAATGCAAATGGAAAATTATACAATGCAAATGCAAAAGATCGAATATTGCAACGTTTGACATGCCATACTTTTCCGCGATTTTTTTCTTCTTTTTCGCTACTAGTATTTTCTAAAGGTACCTCTTCGTTTAGCTAGACCTGTAATTATCTATATATGCTTAGATTTGGAGTTAGAGTTTCACATAGGCAAGTCTTAAAAATGTAAGAAAATAGATTCGCGGAAATACTTTCTGCATATTGATAATGTATTGATAATGTACATTTCAGGTGCATAATTTTCCATTTTTACTGTATAACTTTTATTTGTATTCTATAATTTTCCACTTGTATTCTATTTTCCAGTTGTATTCTATAATTTTCCAGCTGTATTTTTTCTATCCGGAAAATTATACAATGGAAATGGAAAATTTTAGAAACAAATGGAAAAGATCGAATATTGTAACGTTTGACATGCCTTATTCCGAGAGAAAAAAATTCATAATTCAATTACTGTAAGATCCAAGACAAAGGCATCAGAGTAAATAGTAATATCTATATACTGAAAATAACTCATGGCGATAATAATCAAGATCTGCCACCATCAGCACAGATAAACTACATGTATGTGTTACTAGTACCTTTCAAGCTCAAAGATCAACACTAAATTAAACGAAGACGACTTCAAATAAAAAAAATCTCGTCTTTATTTACCGTTTGTAAGATATGGTAATGTTAACCAGAAAATCCCACCTAAAATAAACACATCTCATTTTCGGGATAAACTCTATGTTAGACATTGTCCAGCTGAATTTCCATCAAGCAAACAAAACATACCAAAATGAGAGGTGAGGGTTGACGTGATGTAATAATCTTATATTATACATATAAAGACTCACCAGAAAAATTCAATTACTGTTAATTAATCTTTGAATTCGCTGACTTACGTTGTTTTTTAAATCGTCGAGTTGTTGCTGTGTTAGTCTATGATTGTCGTGTGTGTCACCAAAGACTTTCCCTTTCTTAAGAGCTATCTTATCAATCCCATCAGGCTGAAATAAAAAATAAAAAATGTTTTATCGTGCATTTACGTCATAACGATGTTTAGGACGTTATATAGTGGCATCTTTAATATGAGATATGTTAATAACATATGTTGATAAGAACAACTACATCATACATGAAATATTTTAATAAGATAATCCCTGTATGCTATATAATCTTCTGTACATAGTTGCTTTTTTATGGTTGAGGCTATCTGGTACCGCTTGCAGGGTGGCTGGCAGGAGTTATCTCTCCATAAGTGCGTACGAGTTATCTCGCATTACAACGGTGATAACCATGAATTTGTACCCTTATTAAAAAGTTCCACATCAATCGTTCTGTAGAAAGGTTAATGTTTATTTAATATGTAAAACATAATAGTTAAGAAAAAGAAAGGGAGCGAGACAAATATAGTCCTTTAATTACTGATTTCGGAGCATATAGTGCACGGAGCCCCCCTCCCCCCCCCCCCCTAAAAAAAGTATGATGAAGTTCTTTTTAAATTATTTAGTTATTTTATATATATATATATATATATATATATATATATATATATATATATATATATATATATATATATATATATATATATATATATATATGTGTGTGTATTATTTTATGCACATATTTTTATTATTTATTTATTTATTTATTTTTGTAAATACATACCTTTTGTTTATCACTCGAGACTACGATGTTTTCAGTTACCTTTTGTTGTTATTCTTTTCTTTTGACAATGTTCACTCGCTTTGTCATTTTCGCAGACATATGGCACGATAACCGAACGTCTTTCTTCTTGAAATTGAAACTCTTATAAATTAAAGTAAAACAAATTAGGGAATTTTGAATCCCACTCCATGTATCAGCGAATGCCGGTATGCAAAGACTGTACATAGACTCTACATAGACCTTTTATTATATACTTATTTACAATCTAATCAAGGGTCGAAAGGAAGTGTTTCTGAATGTCTCCAAGTTATTAACAGTTCTCTCTGTCTCTGTCTGTCTGTCTCTCTCTCTCTCTCTCTCTCTGACGGTAGTGAACCCCTGACTCAATCCGTGCTTGCTGTGCTCTACATTTATTCTAAATTTCAGACACTTTTTGTTAGCTTTCTAGTCATCATCTTCTAATTCACCGAAAATTTTTCTGTTTTTTTTTTTCTTTAAAATATTTCATCCCATATTTACACAGTGAACATAACAATGCCATGATAACCTTGTACAATTTACTAATAATGATAGCGTTTATAACATAGGTCCAACTAGTATTTCAAAACTATCCCAAAAATATAATTCGGCATCTATATGTATGCCCTCCCCCCACTCCCGATGAAAAAACTAAAAATTCTTAAACCAGTATTTAATAATGATATTTATTTTCTTTAATGCAAAATATGAATAGGGGAATGTTTTAACGCCGAGTATCAACATTTAATAGTTCTAAATATGTGTATAAAAGTTTAGACATACTAAAGTCACCTCTATCTAAGTTTTGCTAAGATTGTCAAATCTTAGCATGCTTTTAGTTACGGTATTGTTTGACCCTGTACATTCTTCAGTCCTTCTTAAGCAAGGTCTTAGACTTAAGTACCCTTTATGTTACGACACCCAGAAAATGAAACTGCCCATCTCTAACAGGTACTACATTACGTAGCCTGTAACTGTAAAATATACAGATATCGAGATATGATACTTCCTACCTCTAACAGGTACCAGATTACAGGACAACCTACCTTCAACAGGTACCAGATTACAGGACAACCTACCTCTAACAGGTACCAGATTACAGGACAACCTACCTCTAACAGGTACCAGATAATGAAGCTACCAATCTCTAACAGGTACCAGATTACAGGACAACCTACCTCTAACAGGTACCAGATTACAGGACAACCTACCTCTAACAGGTACCATAGTTCAAAGCTTCCTACCTCTAACAGGTACCAGATTCCAAAGCTACCTGCCTCTAATAGGTACCAGATTTTAAAGCTACCTACCTCTAACAGATACCAAATTACAGGACAACCTACCTTCAACAGGTACCAGATTTCTAAGTTACCTACCTCTAACAGGTAAAAGATTTCAAAGCTACCTACCTCTAACAGGTACCAGATTACAGGACCACTTACCTCTAACAGGTACCAGATTTTAAAGCTACCTACCTCTTACAAGTACCAGATTTCAAAGCTACCTACCTCTAACAGGTACCAGATTTCAAAGCTACCTACCTCTAACAGGTACCAGATTACAGGACCACCTACCTCTAACAGGTACCAGATTTTAAAGCTACCTACCTCTAACAGGTACCAGATTTTAAAGTTTCCTACCTCTAACAGGTACCAGATTACAGGACCACCAACCTCCAACAGGTACCAGATTTTAAAGCTACCTACCTCTAACAGGTACCAGATTTCAAAGTTACCTACCTCTAACAGGTACCAGATTACAGGACAACCTACCTCTAACAGGTACCAGATTGCAAAACTATCTGGTTCTATTACTACGGCTTTAATCTCTATTATGTACCAGATAATGAATCTACCTACCTCTAACATCAGATTACGAAGCTTCTTACTTCACTACGTAAGTACTAAGAGGTACCAGATTATAAAGCTACTCACCTCTAACAGGCAACGGGTTATAAAACTACTTACCAGCATGACGTACCAGATTATGAAGTTTCCTACCTGTAAGATGTACCAGATTACGAATCTAAATACTTTTTACAAATACCACATTCAGAAGCTGCCTACCTCTTACAGGTACCAAAATATGAAACTTCCTTACTGTAAGGGGTACAGTATTATAAAATTTCCTATCTGCATGATGTACCAGATTATGAAGCTACCTACCTGTCAGAGGTTCCAAAATATGAAGTAACTTACTTCTGACAGGCACCATATTATGAAGCTACATGTACCTACCTGTAACAGGCACTAAATTATGAAGCTACCTACCTGTTAGAGGTACCGGATTATGAAGTTACCTACCTCTAACAGGTACCAGATTATAATCTACCTACCTATAAGGAGTACCAGATGATGAATCCACCTTCCTGTAACATATATCAGATTATGAAGGTGCCAACCTCTAGCAAGTTTCAGATTTTGAAGCTATCCAACCTGAATTAGGTACTGTGTTTTTAATTATAAATAAGTCGCCTGCGTGGCGCAGTGGTAAGAGCGTCTGCCCTAGAGTCGCGGAGTAAGGAGTTGACCCTAATGTCGCGGGTTCGAATCCCACTGTGGGACGTAGAGACCGGTTCTTCAGATCATGAGACCGTATAAACTGAGGTCCCGTGTCGCAGTAGGTGCTGGCACGAAAGAGATCCCTCACTGCTCAATGGCCCTGAGTATGGGTCAAAATTTGTAGCTCTCCACCGGAAGGTGGTGGCGTTTCCATATGAGTGACAAATTCTCGAAAGGGACGTTAAACAACAAAACAAACACATTACTAGTAAACTAATTGTTCTCGAACAATTAGAGGTCTTTCCACCTTCTTTAAATTTCATATATTTTTCACATTTTACTCTATAAAGTTAATTTTTATACCAAAAGAATCCATAAATGGCTTGAAAGATAGAAAAAATGAAAAATTTAACAAATTTGAAATGACCTTGACCTTTGACCTTGAACAAATTTTCAAGGTCAAAGGTCAAGGGTCACATTGCACTTGACCCCATGCTTCTATGTCTTTTACTTATAAAGTTATGAGGTTTAATAGTAAGCGCAAAGACGTTAAAGGGCGATAACTCATATAAGGGGTCATCGGATACTTTTGCACTGAATAGATTGAAGTTGTGTCTAAAGACCCTGAAGACATTGGTGAAGGTTTTGTGTCTCTACAGTTTATGGTTTCAGAGGAGTAGCGATAACAAGGTTTTCAGTAAAAGGGGCAATAACTCTTAAAGGGGTAAATCTTAGGGGACAAGCATGAAATATTTGAAATAGTTTTAAGAGGACATATTAATGGTACAAAGATACTTAGTATACATTGAAAGACAAAAGAGATATAAAAAGAGCTTAATTTCTCATTTTTTGAATGACCTTGACCTTTGACCTTGACATAAATTTCAAGGTCTGAGGTCAAAGAATCTTATCCAGTTAGTTTCATGTCTCTACGACTTATCGTTTTGAAAAAAAATTATTATTTGTAAACTTCAAAAACTTTCAGGGGCAGTAACTCATAAAAGGGCTCCACGAGTACTTTCGCAATGAAAAGATTGAAGAGTCTCCTCAAATAGTCGAAGACATTGGTGAAGGTTTCGTACCTCTACGGTTTACGGTTTCGAAGGAGTAGCGATAACAAGCTTTTATTGCAAAAGGGGTAATAACTCTTAGAGGGGTCAAAGTTCATATACGCAGGGTCAACTGTAAAAATCTTTTAAAGAGTACATTCTTATAGACTATAAATCTTTTCGATATATCTTGAAACATAGAATCACATCAGGGGGTGGAAAAATAATAATAATAATAATAATAATAATAATAATAACTAGTAGACTAATTGTTCTCGAACAATTAGAGGTCTTTCCACCTTCTTTAAATTTCATATATTTTTCATATTTTACTCTCTGAAGTTAATTTTTATAGAAAAAGAATCCATAAATGGCTTGAAAGATAGAAAAAATGAAAATTTAAAAATTTTGAAATGACCTTGACCTTGACCTTGAACAAATATTCAAGGTCAAAGGTCAAGGGTCACATTGCACTTGACCCTATGCTTCTATGACTTTTAGTTTTAAAGTTATAAGGTTTAATAGTAAGCGCAAAGACGTTAAAGGGCTATAACTCGTATAAGGGGTCATCGGATACTTTCGCACTGAATAGACTGAAGTTGTGTCTAAAGATCCTGAAGACGTTGGTGAAGGTTTTGTGTCTCTACGGTTTACGGTTTAGGAGGAGTAGCGATAACAAGGTTTTCAGTAAAAGGGGCAATAACTTTTAAAGGGGTAAATCTTAGGGGACAAGTATGAAATCTTTGAAATAGTTTTAAGAGGACATATTAA